TTTCCTGGTGACCAGAGATGTGGCCACTGCCACCCACCTGGTGGCTAGTGAAGCTCCCAATTGTCCCTCCCCCATGTGGTATTCCACTATCCCATCTCCTACTCTCCCCTCAGTGACCTCACTACTCATCACTGCACTCCCCTGGTGGCATGAGGCATGCTTTGGAGGATTGAGTGCTATAAGCCCACTACCTCACACATCTGCAGCTTGAGCTTCTCTTGGTGCTGTTTTGGACACCTTGGAAGGGCAAAGGAGTAGAATTGAATCAGGGAAAGGCAAAATTAGCAAAATTGAAGACAGATCTCTTAATATTAAACTGTTAGAGGATAAATCAGAAAAAAGAGAATGAAAAAAATGAAGAATGTCTAATAATTATGTGAGACACCATCAAGAGGAGTAATTTATGTGTGATTAGAATTCCAGAACAGGGAGAGATTTAAGGGGGTGGTGGTGATGGGCAGAAGCACCAAGAAACTTGTCAAAGATTTGGTGGGAGAAAATTTCCTAATATCATGAAAGATAAGAAGATATACATTTAAGAAGCTCAGTGGACCCCAAATAGGATAGACGAGAAAGAATCCTGAAAGCAGCTAGGTAAAAACAAAAAGATACTGACAAAGGAGAACCAACAAGACTATGGCAATAGGGTGGCATATGTAAAACTCTGAAAGAAAATAATTGCCAACCAAGAGTTATATATCTAGCAAAATCGTCTCCCAAACATGATAGCAAAATTAGGATATTTCCAGATAAACAGCAATTAAGGGAATTGGTAAAAAAACAGACAGGCCTTACAGGAAATGCTAAAGGGAGTCCTTTGGACAGACAACAAACAACAGCAGATGATAACCTAAGTTTAAGACATACAACAAGGTCACCCAGAAATTAATTCAGATATGAACCAAACCAAACCAAATCAAACTCACTGCCATTGGGTCGATTCCTATTTATAGTGACCCACATTGGCTGTAAATCTTTATGGAAGTAGATTGCCTCATCTTCCTCCCACAGAGCAGCTGATGGGTTTGAACCACTGACCTGGTTAACAGCCAAATGTATTACCCAATTGTGGTCATTAACTTTGTGTGTCAACTTGGCTGGGCCTGGTTGAGTGGCTGGGCAGCTGTATGTAGTATTCTCCATGATAAGACTGGTAATCAAGTCGATGGTGGAATCTACTGTGAGCAGCTGAGTAGCTGCTTTGGGTATGTGATTTGTTTCCCATATATAAGGAGAAGTTTTGGGGAATGGTCACTAACTTATGGCATGCTTGAATCCTGCATGTAGCTATGTCATTATTCAGCAGCCTGCCATGCTCTGCCAACCTTGGGACTTTCAATGGACTTGAATGAATGGCCTGCCATGTGGTTTGGTAACATCGGGACTGTGCCTTTTTACTTGTCAACCTTGGGTTTGTCAGTCTCAACAGCCAGCAGCTGTCTGAGTGAAGAAATGGCCATTTTAAATTATGGCTAGCAGCATTCCAATCAGAGTAGGAACAATATAATGGCTTAGCTTGCCCAGGACCACACCAGCCTTCACATCATTGATCAGGTGACCTCCCTCCTCACCTTGCACAACTTTCTGGTGACTAACAGCCAATATTACCCTCGATGGAGAAAGGTTGAGAGCCTTCCCATTGAGAATGAGACAAAGATGCTCATTATCACCACCCTGATTCAACATTCTACTGCAAGCCCTAGCCATAATAATAAGGCAAAACAAGAGAAATAAAAAGTATCCAATTTGAAAAGAAGAAGTAAAAGTATTTCTATTTGCAGATGACATGATCCTATACATAGAAGACCTTGAAGTTTCCACAACAAAACTGCTGGAACTAATAGAAAAATTGAACAATATTGCAGGGTACAAGATCAATACATGCACACACATGCACACACACAGACACACACAAAACAGTTGGATTTCTGTACACTAACAAAGACTACTCCAAAAAAGAAATCAAGGAAACAATTCTATTTACTATAGCCCCCAAATCAGTAACATATCTAGGAATCTATATAATAAAAATTATAAAACACTACTAAAAGAGACTAAAAGACACCTTAAAAAATGGAAAGACTTCCCGTGTTCATGGATTGGAAGACTTAATGTAGTGAAAATGTCAGTTCTACCAAAGGCAACCTACAGATGCAATCCTGACAAATCCCAACAGCATCCTTTACTGAATTAGAAAAACTAATGACCAACTTCATACAGAAAGGAAAGAAACCCCAAATAGGCCTCACACATAGCATACATAAACACACATGTACACATATGTATGTAACAAAACCTTAACATCTTGAAGACAGCAGTCAATTACAGATCACCGAAAGAGGCAGGAAAATATGTTTCAAGCCAATGAACAAAATAAAGGGATAGAAATGGTTGATGAGGAAGAACAGATAATAGAACTAGTGGACAGAGAATTAAAAAAAAAAAACTAATATTAAGGAGGAAGGAGACAAGATGGCAACCCGATGACACACTTCGCCCAGTCCCCCTGCAACAAAGACTCATAAGACCAAATGAAATACATACAGATGATAAGTCTGCAACCAAACCAAAAACCAAACTCACTGCTGTGGAGTCGGATCTGACTCATAGCGACCCCTCCTTGGGTTTCCAAGGCAGTATCACTACAGAAGTAGATTGCCCAACCTTCCTTCAGAGGAGTGGCTGGTGGGTTTAAATTGTCATTCTTCTGATTAGCAGTCAAATGCCTAGGCACTAGGTCACCAGAGCTCTCAAATCTGCAACACTGAGAGTCAAATGAAAGGATAAAAAATTGGATTAAACAGACAAAGAAACAAAGAAAATAATTGGATTAAACGCTAATTGGAAAAAGAAACAGAACAAAAACAGTGATGGAGGAGACAGACAGAATGGGGATCTGACACAGAGTGACCATTTTGAAAACCAAATGCCTTAACCACTACACCACCAGAGCTCCTCAGGGAATAGGGCCAGTGAGAAAAGGAAGGGAGAAAAGCCAATGAGAAACCAGGCTGAATACAACTCGGTTGTTTCACTAGAGGATGGGATGCCATGACATTTCTATTTCAACTTCTATAAGCTGTCAGTTTTTATTACTTTCACACTAATTTCCCTCTTGCTTTTTTCTTTTTCTCTTTGATTTCCAGCAGTTTGTCTACTATGTGGCTATTGTATTTTAATTTGTGTTTACCCTGCTTTGATTTCATTTGTCTTCTTGAATCTGTGAGTTGATGTTGGAGTAATATAGTTCTTTTTGAAATGCTGTTTTGACCCAGTTCTGAAGCCCTGGCTAGAGGTAGGTCACTTCCCCTTGTGGGGCAGCTGACTAAATCCACAGTGTAACCACTTCCCTTATTGGGCCCCTGTGCACCTCCCTAAATGCCCTGGGACAGGCAACAAACCACTAGAATCAGCTTTTTATGCCCTGAAGCCTGGAATTATTCAAAAATACCCAATCCTCCGGAAGCCTGTAAAACGTAGCTAACCCCACCCTGCTTGCCATATGAAATCCTTCTCCTGCAGTTGCATCTTATTGTTACCCTGTCCCCTGGGGCAACCCCGTGTGAGGTGTGTGGTAGCCTTGTTTTGTCAGGAGCTATGAGTAACAAAGAGTTCTGCCTTTCCTGTATCCTCAAGATGAAGAACTTCTAATCATAACTAAGATCATAGGAATATGAAACAATCTGCCTTTAGTTTTGGAATATTCTCAGGCACTATTATTTTGAATATTGCCTCTGCCCCCTTGTTTTTCTCTTGTCTCCTTCTGGGACTCTAAACACACACACATGTTAAACCTTTCCAGGTTTCCTCATGGCTTTTTGGCTCTCTTCTGTTTTTCTTTCAATCTCTTTCCTTTTTGTAATTCACCTAGGAGTTGACTTTGATTTCCTGCTGTGTTCAGTTCACTATTAAACCATCCAATTATTTATCTTTTGGTAGCTACTTTATTAAGATGTAATTCACATATGCAATTCAGCTATTTAAAGTGTACAGTTCAATGGTTTGTGGTATATTCAACCATTACCACAATTTTAGAACATTTTCGTCATCCCCTAAAGAAACTCCTGCTCCTTTAGCTGTAATTCCCCAACTGTCCCCACCTTACTCCCCATCCCTGTTGTTATGGTAGTGTCCATTAATCTACTTTCTGCTGTTTCTATAGATTTGCCTATTTTGAACATTTCACATAAATCAGATCATATAATTTGTGGTCTTTTTTGCCATCAATGACCTTGCTTCTTCAGTATCTCTAGTTATCTTGAAGTGGAGAGCTGCTGTTATTTGAAGCAGCCTCTTCCTAGGTGTATGATCTTGTCTTCTAAGTACTACAAGATTATAGGAAATTTTACTATGACTTTTGGGAGTCCTAGGCTCAGCTTAAGGAGCTCTGATGGTGCTGTGGTTAAAAAAACATTAGGCAGCTAACTGCAAGTTTGGCAACTTGAACCCACCAGTCTCTCCAAGGGAGAAAGAATAGGCAGTCTGCTTCCATCAACATATATAACCTTGGAAACACTATGGGGCAATTCTACTTGGTCCTGTAGGGTCAGTAGGAGTTGGAATGGACTCAATGGCAGTGGGTTGTAGTCCCAGATTCCCAGCCTCCCATGTGCTGCTCGAGAATCCTCAAATGTTCGTGAGCAGAAGATGGCTTTTAGAGTGCCTCAGTGTTCCCATGTGTCACATGAGCCCTGCTTGAACGTAGAAAGTCTTACTAATTTCTCTTTAGTATAATCTTCTGTGCAGATCAAGCCCAATTGATTCTGAGTCCTGCATCAACAAATGCTTGATTTGCTGGGATAAATGAATCCAGGAAGGCCTCATAAAGAAGTTAACATATCATGATGACGTTTGAAGTGAGGACAGGACATTACAAAATAGAAAATAGAGATAATTTTTCAAGGCAGCAGGAATAAAATGCAAAAAGTCACAGGCATGTCAAAAAAGACAACTGAGAAATTGTCACTCTGTTGGTGAGGTGACATGTAGATGTTATCAGCATAGAGGGATAACTGAGTCAGGAGAATAGTGTGGGTTAGAGAATATGAATGGGCAATTACTAGGGACATGGCTACCAGCAGGATGCAGTGCCTGGGACTCATGACCAACGTATAGTGAAGGGGGTGGCAGATAGCCACAAGCCGGTCATACGCCATCACCACCAGGAGAAAAACATCTAGACCAGTGAACCACAGGAAGAAGTAGATCTGAGATAGGCATCCAGCATAGGGGATAGTGTGTCTGTGAGCCTGGATATTCACCAGCATCCTGAGAACGGTGGTGGATGACAAACACAGGTCAGTGAGGGAGAAGTTGGCTAGGAAGAAGTACATGGGGGTGTAGAGACGTGGGTCAGAGCCAATGGCTAGGATGATGAGAAAGTTCCCCACCACCGTGACCAGGTATATGCCCAGGAAGACGCCAAAGAGGAGAGGCTGTTGCTCCCACTGCTCAGAGAGGCCCAGAAAGAGGAATTCAGAGACACTAGTGTGGTTTCCAGGTTTCATGTTGCTGGCGTAACTAAGGAATAAAATGAAGGATGCACTTCAGAAATTTTCCTTGTCCTGATATTGTCTCAATGGAAGCAAAGGCATATAATAAAGATGACTTCAGAATATTGATAGCTGTGCATTATCTTGTTGAAATCTTGACAAGGCCTATGAAGTAGTTATTGTCATGTCCGTTTTATTAATGAAGAAACTCCTAGAAAAAGATAGAGGTTTAAGTTTAAATCTTGGCAGTTCTGACTTTAAAGTCTGTGATCTTAATCTTTCTACTGTTGTTGTTGTTATGTGCCTTTGTCCTTCCTTCTGAGGAGTGGCTTCTGGGTTTGAACTGCTAGCCTTCTGGTTATCAGTCAAGTGCCTTAGGCACTATGCTACCAGAGCGCCTATCTTTCTACTACTCAGCCTCTATTAAGGCTTGTTGTTGTTATTGTAATTAAGTGCCATGGAGTTGATTTTTGACCCATAGTGATCCCATGTGACAGAGTAGCACTGCCCCATAGACTTTCTAGACTGTAACCTTTACAGGAGCAGGTAGCCGTCTTTCTCCCACGGAGCCACTGGGTAAGTTCCAACCGTTGGTTAGAACCTGAGTGCTTAACCATTGCACCACAAAGGCTGCCTTCTGCTAAGACACCCAGGAGTAATCCATCGATTCACTCCATAAACATTTATTAAGTACTTATTATATGTCAAGGAGCTGTAGGGTGCAATAGTTAGAGCACTCAGCTGCTAACCAAATGTCAGCAGCTCAAACTTAGCAACTCCTTTGCAGGAAGAAGATGTGACTGCTTCTGTAATTTTACAGCCTTGGAAACCCTATAGGACAATTCTACTATGTCCTATAGGGTCACTATGAGTCAGAATTGACTTGACAGTTTTGTTTTGTTTTGTTTTTTTAAGTACTTGTCAGTTCCTGATTCAGACATCAGGGAAACAATGGTGAAGAAGACAGCAAGGTCCTGCCCTTATGGAGTTAATATTCTAGTCAGAGGACACTACACGTAAAATAGTAACATTTAAATAAACAAGAAAATAAGTGCTAAATGGAAACAGAATGTAGTGGTGACTAGTGGATTACTTTAAATTGAATGGTCAGCAAAGAACTCAACAGCAAGAAATGAGTAAGAGCAGCCATCCAGATAAAGAACTGCATGGAAGGGCATATCAGAGGCAGGGAACAGCAAGTACCACAGGAGGATGAGTGCATGCATTTGGAGGAGCAGAAAGAGGGCAAAGTGTGGCTCAGGTAAAGTGAGTAAAGGAGAGAGGAAGGAGAGGAGGTTGAGGCGGTAGTCAGGAGCAGGTCATATATGTACATGGCATGCAAATTAGGAAAGTTACATTTTATTTTCAGTGCAATCAAAGACTTTTAGGAGTGAAAGGGTGGTTAAGCAGCAGACTACCATGAATTGATTTTATGATATGCATGTGATATGATAGCAACTTTGTTACTGTGTAGAGGATTGTAGGTATAAGAATACAAGTGGGAAGGTAGTGAAGAGACACCTACAGGAACCCTGGGTGTTAACGTGGAGTTAGAGTAAAGTGGAGGGAGCTGTGCTACAGAGAGTTCAGTAACTAGCCCAAGGAACATAAGTGATGGATCTGGACTCTAGAGTAAAAGGCATTTCACCCCACCAGCTACACCCTTCGGGTACAAGTATTTAAATTTTCTGAAGCGAAGGGGAAGGAATTAGGGTAATTTACTGTATCAAGGGAAGCCTTTTAAAGATATATGACTAAAAATACCTGAGAAATTATATCTAGAATATCTCTTAAAGGGTAGAGTCTTTGGAACCTCCTGGAAACATCAGAAGACTGAGAGAAGGAACGCCAGAGATTTGGATGACTGAGCTATTCCCAGAAAAGGAGAGAACCGAGAAGGCAAAGAGGTTTCAGGAACAGTTTACAAGATTTTAGGTATTAAGGAAAAAAACATTATGAGGTGTTTACTATGTGCCAATGACTTAATCCACCCAGCCTATGAGCTATGTGTCACTATGCTATATTTTCAGATCAGGAAACAGAGAGGTTAATTGACCAATCTAATAACACCACACAGATAGTAAGTAACTAAGTCAACTTGGTTGAATGACTTAAATCATTCAAACTAAGGTCTCTCTTCTATCAAATCTGGCAGTTGGTTCATTATGCAAAGCCACCTTCTGAGGCAAGCAGACCTTTATTTTTCTCATGGGTACTCACTACAAATATTTGTTAAGTGCTTTGAGAATGTTACTATGTGAAGTAGACTTATTCTTTGAAATGTTGCCACAGTAATTCTATGGAGTCATGTTTATAATTATTCATCTATTTAAATAGTTTTTGATTGCCTAGTCTATGCCAGGAATACCTGTTATGTAAGGTTAATTGAAACAGGTACTGCCCAAACCTCTAGGGAACTTACAGGCTAAGTAACGAGACCGACAATAAACAATGAAACACATAGACATATAGTTATAAACTCTGATAAGGTTAAAAAATGAGAGGTATAGAAGTACCACTGAGAAAGTATAATTGAAGGGCCTAATTTATATTATAGTTCAAAGAAAACTTCTTCAAGCACGTTAAATGTACGGTAGAACTTGAAGTAGTGATTACATCAGTCAAGACATAAGGGATATAAACTTCCCAGCATATGTGATGGTCCTGAGACCAGTGTGGCTGAAGAAGAGAGAGCAGGATGACACTTGGGTGGCATGGAGACAGCCCTGACCCTCTGGCCATTGCTGACTAAACCACACAGTCAACTGAATCAATTTTAGCTGGTCGGATTGTCTTTTCAAAACTTACAAGTGGTGATACAGAGAGTCTAGCTGGTGGTGTTTAGCTCTGATGATACAAATTCATGTTGAGCTGGAAAGAGAGGCAGCATCCTGGCCACTAGAGTCTTGTGTAAATCTTTGTAATATAGGAATAGAAACTAAGGAAGTCAGAATAAACACAGAGAAAATAGTAATCAAGACAACTAGCATTCCAGAAAGACGTAGTAACTGCCTCGTGGTTTTATAGTTTATTTCCGTTCTCTTGATTATTTTTCCCCCCTATAACAAAGAGCAGAATAACTTAGTACTCAACAGTTTAAACTCTGGGGTAAGGCAGACTCTGGCACCTACCTGTGTCATATAACAGCTATAGGTAAGTTACAAAACATCTCAAGGATAGCAACAACAACAATAGCAAGAAGAATAGTGTTTTGGGTACCTAGTGCCGCTCTGACAAGAATATACCACCAATGGGATGGCTTGACAAACAGGAGTTTATTCTCTGACAGTTCGGGAGGCTAGAAGTCCAAGTTCAAAGTGCCAGGCTCTAAGGGCTGTGTGAAAGCCTCTTGACGTTGGGCTTCAGCTCTGCCTCTTGTTTCCGGCCCACTGAAGCCAGAGGCGTCTCTTCATTCAGGCAGCTACTGGCTGCTGAGGCTAACAAGCCCAAGGTCGACAAATAAAATTGCACAGTCCCCATGTTACCAAACCACATGGCAGGCCATTAATTCAAATCCATTGAAAGTCCCAAGATCAGCAGAGCATGGCAGGCTGCTGAACAATGACATGACTATATTCAGGGTTCAAGCATGCCATAAGCTAGAGACCATTCCCAAAGCTATTTCTTATATATAGGAAGCAGACCACATACCCAAAGGCAGCTACTCAGCTGCTCCCAGTAGACTCCACCATGGAGTTGATTACCAGTCTCATCATGGGGAATACTACATCCAACTGGCCAGCCACTCAACCAGGCCCAGCCAAGTTGACACACAAACTTAACCACCACAGATAGTTAACAGGTATTGAGTGTAAACATATTCCAGTTACTTTGCTAATTGTTTTACTTGTTTAATTGGATTTTTACATTTCATAACATAAATTCTATATTTTGGGAAAAGGAAACTGAAGTATGATGTAGTTTGTCCCAAACTATACAGCTAGTTAATAGAAAATCCCAGACTTGAATTCTGGTCTGATTCACCACTCATCCAGGTGATTTCAACCAACCTCAGTTGCTGTTGAGCTGTGGGATCTGTAGCCTTAACACTTTCCCTTTGGGTAAGGGCAAATTCACATCACAGCTCCGTCTGAAGACTCAGCTTCTTCCTTTTATGAACTGGAAAGAAAATCCAGTGTAGTAGGCAACTGTGGGGCTGATTTCTAGAGTCACAGTAAGTGCAAGTAGGAGGATTTGAGGGGGCTCATTCTGGGAATATTTTCCATAGTTGGAGGCCCCAGAGTTCTCATTAGTGGGGATAGAAACTAATTGTCTCTGAATCCCTGATGAGACAAGGCGACTGCTCTTTACAGGTGGGACTCCTGTTCTACTTGTAGGCTCTTAAAGGTGTGCCCACTGTCTGTCACCTCAGGATACTCTGCTCTGAGCTTGCTACTATCAACTTACTCCCTTTAATCTGTAACTTAGAAAAAGAATTTGGGTAAATGGTTCCAATGGGGACAACAGAGATTTATTTCTCAGAGATCATTTCCTCGTCTTATCTTGAGATGTCTTGGCCCAAGTATCTTGGCCAATATTCTAACTCTTATGT